GGGCATAATTGTCTGTGCTTTCTTTTTCTCCTTTGTATCATCTGTAATAAGGAGTTGAATGGGCTTCGCTATCTTTTTGGCAAAAATAAGATTATCATAACTCTAAATGTTTTCATGGCTAGGTGTATAAGACATTCCTGAATAATTGTATTTTGGAAAAACTGCCTGTTAGGGTTGGAATACTATGACAATTTAGGTTTGTTATGGATTAAAGCCTGAAGGATATGCTGATTCAGTAACCTCTTATGAAGTATCTTCTTTCATCGATTTTTCTTTACTTACTTTTTTAAGGCTTTTAAAATCTTGCTTAACTTTTCCTCTAGTGCCTTTTAAGCTTTTTCTATCCTTTCAAGGTGACTTGTATTATCCTGTTTCATCTTTCTAGCTTAAGCCCGTGTATTGTATTGATGTGTAGCTATTCGTGCACCTTAGTACCACAATTAAAGATTCAATGATAATGTCATGAACGAATAAATGAGTATGATGCAAATGCATGAAAAAAAAAGAAGAGAAAAAAAAATATTTGCCCCTTAAAAAAAATTCAACAAAAAAAACTTTCATTTATTCTACAAGAATCTATTTTACATCAAATCTAATACTAGTCCTTTATAAAAATGCCTAACTTATATTGATCCTTAGCCTTCTCAATGAAGTCTAACCGTTTTTGTCCATGCTCCTCTGTTGGTGTAAACGAAACTCTTAATGCCACAACCTTTTTTTACCATATCCCTTGCTTTGATTGCGACTTTGTCTATCTGAGCTTTGAAGTGCTCTATGTATATTTGTCTTCCTAAATTTTCTCTTTTGCCGTATCACATCTAATAGGATAACTTTTTATGCCTTTTTGTGAGAGTTCTAGCATGATTTTTTTATTCATTCAGCTTTAATGTTAGAGTCAAAATGTGGTCTGAAAGCCATTGATTCTTTTACTCAACCTTCATAAAAGCATATTCTATTTAGGCACACTCTTATTTTAACTTTTCATTCTCACGAGTTAGCTCTATGTTATTTATTTTTTTGACTTATACCTATATGCGCAACCTCTTATGCTCCCGTCGTAGCTCATTCAACTCTTTAAGGGCATTATCTCGTTCTCTAACAACTTTTCAAGCTTTACTGTATTCCTTAAAGATCCTATGGACTTGGATTTCTAATTTTTTTGCTTTATTTTACCATTGGTCCTTTTTTTCCTGCAGCTTTAAAATTTCTTGCTTCAGTTTCTCTTTCTCCATTTCATACTCTAACTCAGAAAGCTTATTATCTAACTCTTGGCCCATTGGTAAGTGATGCTTTCAAGGCATAAATGTAATCTTTTGACCCTTTTTATTTCTTCAAATCAGATATCCCTGAGTGACTCTATCAGTGAATGGTCCTGGGCTGACTCTCTTAAGCTTTTTCTAGGCCTTAATCATGCTATCAATCTTTTGAAAAGTTTTGGACTCCCCATATGAATAGTCAAACTGGTTGAGCTTGAAGGTCATAAAGGTAAATTGTTCGACTTCATGCTATCTCCTTACCATTAATGATGCATAGCTCGTTGGTCCCTATAGACCTAAAAATGAAACCCTTGTCTCTTCTCCATATTGATACAACATAGGTTTTCTGTCCTTCCACAGAGCTAACCATTTTACCTGACCCATTGTGCACCCTTGCAGTAGACACTTTCACTTCTTCTGAGTCTTTACTTTTAGCCAAATGCTCTAACAGAACTCCGTAATCGGACTCTGAGTGTATAAAGCTTGGAAAATGCGTTCTTCTTGCATTCAAAATGACTTTTCATCCATATATATAATAAGGGTATGCAATCCATGAAACGTGCTTTATCATTCAACCTATAAAAATTTAGAGATTTGATAGTTTCTGCTAAGATAGTTGGTGAATAATTACACTTTTTTTTTCAATATGTTAAAATAAATCAACCACTTCCACCTCAATATGGCTTAAAATCTTAGGGAAAATTACCAATCCATATATGGCAAGAGCAAATGTATCCATTCCCTGACCATCATCTGAATGCTTGACAATAAAATCTCAGAGTTCTTCTCATGGAATACTCTTGTGATCTCCCTTCTCTCGGATGTATGAATTTATGACTTTTTTTCCTACTCCTAAGATTTGGCCCAACTTTCTATGACTTCTTGATTTATGTTTCTTCATGTATATTCTATCTGGATACAGTAAATGCATACCCACTAAAGTTGAATACTCTTTTATTATTGGTATTAAATTAATCTCATTAAAGATGAAACATCAGCAAGAAGGATCCCAAAATTGTATCATCATCTTGATAAGTGAGTAATCAACCTCCACTGATAACAAATATGCAATATGCCCAAACTTCTCACAAAAAGCATCTTGCCTTGAAGGGGTCATACAATTAACATGTTTGATAGGCTTTTCAAATCATTATGTTTGAGGAGTAGGCGAACTTCTCTTGATAGTGTAAAACATAACCCTGTGGTAAGCAATCTCTTTCTTTTCGCTGCTTCTTTTCTAATTCTATCTTCACCTCTATGGGAGAGTCACATTTGAACAGCATAAATGAGGTATAAACCTGACGTTCTGTGGAATCCACGAGGGTTTTTGTTAAAATAGCTTTAGGGTAAAAATACTATGTAATCTGTAAACATGTTTATGAATGTGCACAAAAGGAAAAGAAATAAATGAAGACAAAGAAAATTAGTTAGTCACTTCAATAAAACATAAAGTAAACATCACATAGCAATTAAAATAACAACATGACTTAGAATTTTGATTATTTACAAAGGGTGGGAAGATAAAAGCTCTATGGTTGGGTTCTTAAAGTTAACTATATGCGATTTGGGTTAATTCTAAAAGGTTTCCAAATTATTCCTTTACATCACGATCCATTACAGATTAGTAAGGCACTTTAATCCTCATCCATAATAGGCTACAAGCAAAAATGATTTAATCTGAGTAAAAGTGTTTTGCAGGCCTATGCGAAGACATGAAATCTCATAAGCGCATAGATACTTCACTCCCTCCTAAAGGTAGAGCTCAGGTGGAAGGCTTATGTTATACACATGTTGATGAATGACAGATATATATATATATATACAAATAATAAATCCTTAAGCAAATATGAACAACTAAATAAGTAGATATATATATAAAGAAAATAATAATAAAGTAGATATAAGCAATAAAAAGGAATAAAATAATTTTAAACTTATTAAGCAAGGCTTGGATAATAAGAAATCATTTACTGGCTTGACTCTCAATGTCTCCAGTAGAGTTGTCAAACTATCATAACGTATAGATCCGTGGATCTACCACTAAACATGGGTTAGATAGAATCCCTACCAATCTTTTTTGCCTAAGTGTGATAGGTCACCTGATTGAACTTGATTTGCAAAATAGATGTCAGGTTCGAAAGACGGTTATGCATGAAAAAAGTTGTAGTTACCCCACAACGTTCATCTAAATGATGGTACAAATTTGATTTCAAATTATCCAAGCCTAGGTCATTTTTATAATTTTATCAAATAATTTAATATTAAAAATTAACCCTAAAATTATTAATAGTTTGGTAGCAATTTAGGATAAATTCTCTCATCTCATAAGTATTCATGGAGATTAATGTCTCACTCTGAAAAAGCTTTGTCGTTGGATTTATTAATTTTTATTTTAGAAAAATTAGTGAAGCCTTCCAATAGTTTGATAAGGCTCACTTCAAAGCAATTCTCCAATAGTTTAGATGATAAAAATTATTTTTTGTTTATTTAAAAATATATTTCTTTTTTTATTGGAAGGATTTTTTTATTTATCATTTTTTTGTAGAACTATTTTCTTTCTTTTTCTTTTTTTTATAACTTTATTTTTTTTTTACTTTTTTTCTTTTTTAGAAATAAAGGTGGTAGAAATAACTCTTTTTTAAAAAAATGAAACCAAAAAATAATAAAAGAAAATAGGTTAAAAATAAAATAATATCAAATCAAAAAATAAAAATAAAATGGAAAAGGAAAAACCTTATCAGATCGGGTCGGTTTCAGGGTCATTACGCGGATCCTAAACGATTAAAATGACGTTGTGTAGAGGCAATATATACCAACGTCTTTCTACTAAAAAGTCTCTTCCCTTATTTCTCTCTAGCTTATTCTTCTTCTGTCTTCTCTCTAGAAAATTCATCGACAATCGAAAACTTAAAATCTCATCGATTTTTGGGGATGTCATTGAAAAATTCAATCAAAAACTAAAAAACTCATTAATTTTTGAAAAACGTGTTGGATTCTGAAAATCTTGCCAAAATCTCATTAGAAACTATAATCTTCACCAAAAAATTTTCGTCGAAAAATTTAAAGTTCTTCAAAAAAAAAAGAAAAACCCAAAATTTTTAAAAATTTTAAAAAATCCAAAAAAATTCCCTGATAGCTCTAAACCTTCCCTGAACCTTCTGTAACCTTAAATTCACCTCTAGAAACCTAAAATCACACCCAAAACTTCGAATTAATCCCTGAATCCCAACTTCTAAATCCCAAAAACCCATACTGCCAAAATTCTTCTAGATTCTTTTTTCAAAATTTTTTTATGTGTTTTTGTGTGTTCATCCTCTGTAAAACCAGTTCAATTTATAGGCAGTCTTAGGATCAGTTTAAGGAAACAGACAAAATCAATCCCAAGTTTGAATCTTGAGATTTGAATTCTATCACGACGGGATTTTAGGTTCCAAGATTCCAGCAATCACATGCTAATACGATTGGCATTGAAGTTTTGACCAAGCGGGATTCTGATCTCGATTCTATTTTTGTTTACGTGTGAATTAAAACAAAAAGGAAAAAAGAAAAGAAAGAACATGAAAGAAAAAAAAAGAAAATATAATAATAATAATAATAATAATAATAATAATAATAATAATAATATAGAGGAAATCAATCCAACTAGGCCTGAACACAGACGAACCTAATGGGCTTGGACACGAATGAGCCTAATTGAGGTCTAGACATAAATGGGTGTTTACAGCAACAATGAAATACAAGTACCTGTAGTCCAGCATGGCCATCATCGACTGCATTAAGAGCTGATTTCAGCACTCGAATTGCTGTTGGACTGTTTCTTAAGATCTCTCTGCACCATTTAATTGTTTCTTGCTCTAATTTCTCTAGCTGGTGAGGAATTGATTAATGGGAGAAAATGAGGAGATGGTGATTAGTTCATGGAAGAGGCAAAGAGGACTGTTAATAACGAGAACAACTAACCGGCACAACAGCATTGACAAGTCCCATTTTCTCTGCCTCAGAAGCTGTGTAAAATCTTGCAAGAAACCACATTTCGCGTGCCTTTTTAGGTCCAATCTGTTTATCCAAATCCAGACCACACACACTGTTCAGATTGCGTATAAAACAGAGAACAAATATCATATGTGCCCAATAAAAGCTGACATCTTTCTTACTGCTTACCAAACGAGACATAATGGAACTTCCATAACCAGCATCAAAACTTCCTACCTGTGGCATATGCAATCAGATAAAAGTAATCAGCGTAAAAACATTAACAAAAGTAGCATAAGCACCTTGCACCAGAATTTGAAGCGGGAATTTTGGTACAAGGAAATAGACTTTTGAGTCTTGACTGTGGTCTGCAACCACCATCCTAGAAGCAAAACAACAAAATCAACCAAGCAGGGGCTAAAGAAGGGCATTCCCAGCGAGCTTTTTTACATGAAATAACAGAACATATGTTTGTAATCACCTTGGGACCAGTTTGGCCAAAAATAGCATTATCGGCAGCAATGGTCAGGTCACAAACCATATGTAACACATGTCCTCCTCCAACAGCATAACCAGCAACCTGGCTTATAATATCGTCAGCAATTTAAAGACCAAAACGAAATCGGAACAACAAAGGCATGAATATTGTCATTATGTTTGAATAAGAAAAACAAATCACCATTGCTATCACTGGTTTCGGAAGACGCCTAATTTGTACCTGCAATTGCATTAAAATCAAGATAGATAAGAGTAACTAATAAATTAAAGAATCAGAGATGTTTAATGGGGGAAAAATACAAGGTGTTGCCTTCAGCATGTGTGAAATTTGTACCTGAAGATCTAAAACATTAAGGCGGCCAAAGTTTTCAAAATCAGCATAACCATCCGCTTTTCGCAACGCTTGGTCACCCCCGCTACAAAATGCCTTGCTTCCCTGCAGCATCAGATTATCATGTAGTATCAAAAGGATTCAAATAGCGGTCGGATAACGGTGTCACGGCCGCAATTTCGTGGTCGCGCCACTATCTACCACCGTTATTGGAGAAAAAACGGAAGAGAATTTGAATCTCGTCTATAGCAGATGAATTGCGATCATAAATTACGGTATAATGGTGAATAGCAGCAATAGCGGTCCGTTATTGTCTGTTATTGCCGCTATTCTTATTTTCATTCAAACATTCAAAAAAAAATTTAATTGGATTTTGTTTAAAAACTTAAAATAAAAACAACAAGAAAGAAAATAAACATCAATTTACAAATTTAGAAAAAAAAACCTATAAAACTTAAACTTTTAAAAAAATCAATTTTCTCAAGTTCAACTTCAATCAAAATCAAGTATATGCAATTTAAAGTAAACAATTAATTCAATACTCAAATTATTTTTTTTTTTTTAATTTCTAAATTTGTCATGATTTTGTATGTTTGAGATTAGATTGGACTATGTTACATTGATAGAATGAGACAAGAGTTGTTGAGACTTAAAATAAGAGATAAGAGATGAGAGTGAAACTTAAAGTTTATAGAAACAACAGATAGCACACACCAAATAAAAAAAGAACTGAGAGATTGGGATGAGGATAAAGATTTGAAAAAAAAAAATTATTGAATGCAAGGTGAAGGGATAAGAAGTTATGTGGGTCTGTGCAATTTAGTCAAGAGACAAGAGAAGTAGACTTGAGGTTATTATTGTTGAAAATCGACCATAACATTGAGGCTGTCAAGTTTGATTTACTGTAAGTTCATAAAAAACAATTTTTTTGACTCATAAATAATAATGTTCTTACTTAATTTATGAATACCTAATCACTTATTATTTGATTTATGCATAATATAATTTGATAATAATTTGATGAGTACGGTAATTAAATAATTAAATATATTATTCGTTATGATTATTTATTTTTTATATATTTATTTATCTCTTTTTATTTTTAATTATCATAAAAATAATTTTTTAAATATGAATATTTTACTAAAAATATTTTTTCTTAAATAAATAAATAAATTACTTTAAAAATCATAAAATAAGAGATTTTATGATTAATAATTAAAATTATCATATTTTATAGCAAGTTGAGTAAAATTAAAAAAAATTCATGATTGCAATAATCATAGTGACCGCAAAGGTCTTCATTATATCTGTAACCGTGATAAACGCGATATGACCGAAAACGTGACTGTTACCGCAATTTAAATCCTTAGTATCAACATTAAAAAAAAAAGTTAATAATTTGCGGATACGATGGACAATGGAAAATTGGAAATTACCTTCCCCGAGAGGATTATGACTCCCAGGGAATTATCATCCCTGGCGTCGTTAAATGCACGTATAAGCTCCTTGATCGTCTGCGGCCGGAACGCATTTCTTCTCTCTGGCCTGTTTATTGTAATCTAAAAAAAACAACAACAACAACAACAATAATAATAACCATTGAGCTTGTTTGCAAAGTCAAACAATGAAGCTGAATGGACCTTCGCAATGCCTTCACCGACGGCCTTTTCATAAATAATATCGATGAATTCTTTCCCATACTCATCACAAGCAGTTTTCCACTCAACCTCATGGCTTGCAACTTCACCATGGATTCTACGGTAGCTATCATTCATCGAAGCCTTAGAGAACCCAATGGAACCACGGCTCCAACTGGAATTCGACCCTAAACCGACCTGCAGGAGATGGTTTGAGACGGTTGCAATCCTCCTTGTCACGGCGTTGAGTTCCTTGTCTGAAATATGCGCCATTGTAGGAGTTCAGGAAATGTCGGTAAGAAGAGATATGGTTTAGCTTTGACTTTAAAATTTTGAAGATTTGGTGTGATTTAAAAATGGAATTATTGAAGCGAAGAGTGGGCTTGAAAGAGGGGAAATAGTATTTTAGATCGGATAAGATAAGATGTCGCTTACAGACGCTACAACCAGATGCGGTTTGAACATTGGTCTGAGTCTATCGAAGTGCACCGTTTCATCAGCTGCTGCCCCTATAAATATATAAAATATAAACAAATGATACGGGCTATTATTTGTTCATGTCAAATGGAATTATTTAAAATTAAATTAATTGAATTATAATATTTTATTTTCAGTAAATTAACTGAATTTATTAATTTTAAAATTTAATTAATCAACTTTAATTTATTTAATTCTTGAATTAATTTAATTATAAAATTCATTTAGATTAAGTTATATTTTAAATTTTAAATTTGTTGATTTAAAATAAATTAAAAAAATAATTTAATAAAATATTTAAATATTATAATATTAAATTAAAAATTCTAATAACTTATAAAATAAATTATTTAAATTTAAAATTTAACTCAATTAATTTATACATCATTTTATAAAAAGGTGATATTTAATGTTTCCTATTTTAATCCGTTTAACTAAAATTAATAATACTATATAGACGACACTTTAACTTTATTTAAAAAAATAATATTATATCGATATCAATTGTTTAAATATATTATTTTAGATTTTTTAATTTAATATAAAAATATTAATAAAAATATATAAACGTGTATAGAATAATATTATTAATAATATACAAAATAAATATATAATATTTTTAAATTTAAAAAAAATAAATTTAAAAATATATAAAATAATAGCACCATTTTAAGTTTAAAAATATAAGAAAACAATAAAAAGTGGCTAGACAAGCTCTTAAGTTTCAACTTTAATTTTTATATTTTATTCTTTAATTTTATTTTTATTAAGTAAAAAAAAAAGTAACATCTTATGTACTGACTGAAAATTATAAATCCACCGAAATGCGTAAAAAAAGCCGAAATTATTGAAAACCATTGGAATTAGCTGATATTAAATTTAGTATGAAAAATACCTTGTACATGATATTTCGACAAGCATATATCAATAAGTACAATCGACGAAATTAATAATTATATTTGTAACTCTTTTTTTTTTTAATTTTAAATTATAATTTTTTATATAGCAAATAAAAATGATCATTATATAAATTTTTAATTTTATATTTAAATTTTGTGATATTTTAAGTAATTAATTTTTTAATTGAAAATTGAAATTTTTAAAAATCAGTTTCGATAATAAATCAAAATTTATTTCATGATCAACCAATTAACCTAACTAAATCCATTAACCCGGTTAAAACCGAATTTTGAATTCCTACCGATGGAAAGGTGAGTGATCTTACTTTGATCTGCTTGTGTTCGGGGAATTGGGGGGAAGAAAGGAGTTTTTTAGAGAAGGAGTGGAGGACGTGGAAGTAAAAAACCAGAGAGAGAAAAAGGAGGAAAACGATGCCGGATAATCTATCATCTTTTAGATCCATCAGTTAGCTACCCTAATTATTCTACTTCTTGGATTTGATTATCTACTTTGAAGTTTTAACTTCAGCCTGTTGGTTGATTTTGTCTGTTATTTGACGGCTTGGTTTTTCAACACGATGAATTAGTTTTGGAAGGCTTGAGGTTGCAACTAAATATTAGGATCACAAAATAGTAAGGATTGTGCTTCTGTTGGAGTCCTCCTGAATTTGATATGGCTCATCTCGTGGAAACCCAAGCATTTCTGGAGCGAGGGGTTTGATTCGGTTACATACAGGTATTTGGATTATTGGTTTTGGAGCACACCTTGAGTTTGTTCGAATATAATTGCGGAATGGCAGGCAGTCTGTTCTGATATGTTACTAGCTTGGCAAGAGGGGTTTAGCGAGGTGATTTGATTATTTCAGCAGATAATATATCACCATTCATGCGCTTGATGGTTTAATTGGCTGCATTTGGGAGCTTAAAAAAAGAAATAGTTAATACTTGTTTCAACATGTCCTTGAGAAGGGAACTTTTGTGCCAACTCTTTAGCAAAAGAAGATTGATTTAGATGATGATTTTGAAATCCTATGTACTCCTCCATACTGGATTCATTTTTTAATATTTTTGTTACATAGGATGGACATAATCCATGTGGAATGAAAGAAAATTATTGTTCTAAATCAAGATTTTTATATCCTTTTAAAATCCACTTAATCACTAAACAAAAAAACTGAAGATGATTATTTTTAACTTTCACCAATGCAAGGGTGTACAAATTCCCCCTACTTTTAAAAATGTCTTAATATTTTGATTTCCCTTTGTAGCAGAAAAAAAATGTCTTAGTATTTTGATTTCCCTCTGTAACAAAAAAAAAAAAGGGGGGCAATACAAACATATGGTCGTGTCTAAAACATTTAATATGACCAGTCACGTGTGTTTATGTATAATTATTTACCCTTAGTAAGGACCAAAGAGATGAGAAACCTTAAAATGATGTTAGCAGCAGCTGAAAATGTTGCAGTCTGTATGAAAAAAAAATTGAAATATCTTAAGGATAATGCAGTGGCCATACTAATTCTGGACAATGAAGCAGAGTCGAATTTTGATCCTAACAGCTTTGTTTTTACGTGGAGGATTATTTTTGGAGTTTCCATCAGTAGGGATGGTTTACTTTTGTTGCGATATACAAAATGGACCCGTTGAAAGAGTACTATTGCACTTTCATATCAAGATGTAAAAAAAAAAAAAAAATTATAACTTTACCAAGTAATCTCATTAATAGATACATTAACTGCATTTTATACATCCTTGCTATTGTCTGGATTAGCATCATCGCAGTTTGTGCATAACATCAATGACATCCGCAATTTCCCATAAAAATTTCACTTGTGCCTCGAGCCTCCTCGGACCTCTGCTGCTAATACTATGACATCGCTATTGATATGCCTATAGGGAGCTTAGAGTTCAGTGTGAACAATATGATCTGCGGTAGGTTCAGCAAACTCGGAATTTTCTTTCTGATCGATGAGAATAAAGCTTTTGTCATGGGAACTTAGGCAGTCTGCTGAAGGATGCACGACCCCGTAGCCAAAGCCTTGAGCTGAGTTGCAGTAGGTCTCCACTGTGCCATCCTTGTTCTCTAAGTTTATATTGCTTAGGACTAAATTGCTACAGGGAACAGTATCACTGCAGGCAAACTTCATTGCTTCCTTGCTTTCTGTTGTTCCACTAATGTTTCGGTACATAATCTGGCTTATTTGCACTGCTGATGTCTAAGAAATAAAAAAGAATATGAAATTCATGTGATCAGTGTTCTCATTGGGTGAGAGACTCCTGCAAGAATCATGGTTCTAATGTGATCAAAAGACAGATGGTGAGAAATTTAGATATGACAGAAAGGAACTTGGGTAATGCACCTGGTTTTGGCAGGTTGTTGGGGAATCACAGTAGAATTGATCTATAATGATGGGGTTAGCAACATCTTCCATCCTCACATTTTCAAAACGCACCCCACGAACATAACCGGAACCGCCCTTTATCAAAGAATCACAAGGAGATGCATGTTATTCCCAAAGAGATGAATTCAAAGTTGCTCTAAATGAAAATTATGTGTTGACATATTCAGAATAAAAAAAAATCATTAATAGAACCCACCACCCACCCTTTTCCCTCTTCCTCCCAAAAGAAGAAAATATCAGGCTTCATTTTTACTCAGAAACAGCATGCAAATGTTAAATGTGCTATAATCCTGTTTTTTCAGGTATGTTCACAACTGAAGCCCCAAATAGTCTTCTACTTTTTATTTTCAGCTTTCCTAATGCTGGCTAAATGTGTATTCTTATTGATACACGTGCTAGGTTTATGAGATATGTCATTACAATACCTGCCAAGTTTTAATCCTGACACCATTTGTAGTCTCAGTGAGGAATCCTGTATCCAAGACCACCTTTGTGACAATGCCTGTGGAGTTATCCTTCCCAAGGCTTCCGATGCTAAGTAGCCAAATTTTGCATTAAAGATAGAAAAATGAAGTAAAACATGTAACAATCAGTTTACACTGTAGGAAATGCTATGGTCAACAAAGCACCAAGTGTCTCACTTGAGAAGATCAGAAACAATCTGTTGAATTATTTTATATAATCTAACTGGAAGTTTGGAACACACCTGACTCCATGTCCTGGTCCACAATATATTCTCTTCATCTTGATAGCAGATGAAGCATTAACGATTGAGATGCAATCATCCCCTGAATTTCATATGCACATTCACCACGCATAGTTAACCAGTCAATGTGCACACATGTAATAGTTTGTAGTAACATTTCTAAGAGGTATTCTTTCAGCTTCATTTATGGTGTTCTTATTGTTTGCAGAACAAAACAAATGCAAGGAAAGACTAAAGACAAGGTTTAAGTACCTGTTCCTATTTTGCAGTCTTGAAGAACAACATTAGTTGACCCAGTAATGTGGATTCCATCGGTGTTTGGACTGTCTCCCGGACATGAGACTCGTACTTCAGATACCTGAACAGATTCAGACTTGGAGATGACAAAATTCATCTGCTGACTGTTCTGAATTGTAAGGCCTTTAACCTTAATAGATGAGCTTGAATCTATAGTCAGTGCCTGCAACAAACTCATATGTTAAAAATCTAATTTGAGATACATTTGGTAGTTCACATGCATAATTTTGGCATGCTGCTTATTGAAAGCATGACTAGTATAATTGCGGAGAAAGATCCCTACTGTTGGTGCCCCCCCCCCCCCCCCCCCGGCAAGGCTGCCAAAGGAAAAGCAAATAGAGGGAAAAAATATGTTACATTCTATTTGTTTGACTTGTAACTGGAGCATGAAAGAATTTGTATAGAGCACCCTAAGGTATTACATTTGACTTGTTCTTTTTGCAAGAAGATGCCCACCATTTGCTGCCAGAGCCATCAATAACTCCATTTCCTTGGAACACCACTCCCCGCAGCTTAGAAAAATCAAGCCAGAGTCACGGAAGATTTGGGTCCCAGTTCTTAGGTTCATCTGGTGCTACTATTATTCCATCAATCTGTATAATAACAATAAAGTTTATGATATAATAGAAAATAGAAAAAATTACAACAACTGAAATTAAAATTAATATCAACATGTAATTAATATTTGCAATCATTTAATCTGTAACATAGATATAGATAACTTAGATATTATTTTCATATGCGATCAAGTTGATCTACTTTGATATTACCTGAACAACCAACCTATCTGCACATGGTCCCTTAAACTTCGTAGCATTAACCAAATAATGGCGTTCAGGAGGAACCAAGAAAACTGATTTTGGAGTAGAGCACGCCGTGTCCCATGCTTTTCTAAAAGCCTGATGATAAAAGTATTGCAGAAAGACAAACAGTAATACACAAAAAGTTTAAATTTCCATATCAGATTGAATGCTTAAGTTATTCAAAAATAATATTCACAGCAAACTATTTTCTAAATCCTTGAGAGATGCCATTTGTCAGAACCCCCATGGAAACAGAGACTGCCAATTACTGCCTAGAAGAGTCTTAATCAGTAGAGCTTGTAATTTCAATCTATTTTAAAAGAACCATGAAAGTAATTTGCAAGGGAGTCAAAAAATTAAAAAAATAAAAAAACTCCAGCACATACCCAGGTGTCATCAGAAACTCCATCTCCAACTGCACCAAAGCTATCCACATTGACAAGAACCGTGCCACCACGTTCATTTGTCCAAGATGGGATCTCATATAGTTCTGCATCTTCTTCTTCTATGTCCAGGTCTTCAAGCTCTCCAATTATGCTAAAGATGTCCCCTGCAACTCCATACGCTGCTATCAGCAAAGCAGGGAAGGAAACGAGGAACAATTTATTCATGATTTGTTGTTTTTTGTCTGTTTGGAAGATTGATTGAATTGTATAAATCCAATAAGACATTGGTTTAGTTTACATGTGAAGATTAATGCTGGAAATGAATGGTTTTGTGGGCTATCTGGCTTGGCTTAAAAGTAGATGAAGGTGCTACATTTTCTACACGCCCCACACTTGAAGTACAAGGGAAAATTTATTTTTAAGTTCTTTGCTTTACTCTTCAACCAGTAGGGAAAATTCATCAGTTAAACGTTCATGGATTCTGTCTAATCTCTCTCTCTCACTCCCACTCTCACTCTCATGGAAATGGATAAATAAATCAGCAAAGGAAATTGTGTTTTATATATATAAATACACACATACATGCACACACACAACTGAATTCAGTTTATAAAATGAAAAAACACCATGCATGCATACATGCATGGATAACATGTAGCAAGAAATAGGCAATAAATACCTAAATAAGAAAGCGAAACAGGGGGCAAAAGGTCCTTTTCCTGTTTCAAGCCAAGGACTTCAAACTAAAGTAACTGCTCTTTAGAAGATTTAAGCAGAAGATGCAGATTCACAACCAGGTTCCAGTTTCATGGAAATAAAGCTGAAACAGAAGAGCAAGCACTGTTCCAAAGTTCTCTGTTGGATGACTATGCCTGTAAAATTTCATCAGTATAAGAAATGAATGTTAACTGTAAGTCTTGACCTCAATTAAACTGTGACCAATCTCTCTCATCACTTTTCTTGCCATAGCAATCTCTCTTATTTGCAATGAGGCTTCAAATTCCCCAACTTCAGAATAAAAATTTGACACCTGCAAATAAATGGCAAAATCCTCCTGCCCAAGCTCCATCAAAACTTTTGCCGCTCTTTTTCCCACCATTTCATTCTTTTGGAGCCTACAACTCCGCAGCAATGAACTCCACATTACAGAATCTCCCCCTCCTGGTACCTGTTGCAGCAACTTCTCAGCTTCATCCAGCAGACCTGCACGGCCTAAAAGATCTACCATACATGAAAAATGCTGCTGTTCTGGGCAAATACCATAAAAAGATTTCATCAAGTTAAACACAAACTTCCCTTCTTCAACCAACCCTGCATGGTTGCACCCACTTAAAACACATAAGAATGTCACTTTATCAGGGATCAGGCCCTTCTGGATCATTGCTTCCAACAGGCTGACACCTTCTCTCCCCATCCCGTTTCGGGCATATCCATTTATCATAGATGCGAAGCAGAAGACATTTGGTGAAGTAAGTGTCTCAAAAACCTGGCAAGAGAGTTCAAAATGCCCACATCTTGAATACCCATCAATAAGAGAACATGAAACTGCAATATCAGATTCATAACCGTATTTTATAGTACAACAGTGCAACAGTCTGCAGCTGTCCAAACTTGCCCAACTAGACACCGATAACGCTTTCAGAGTTGTGGAGAGAGTAACCTCATCAATCCCAATTCCTTCGTCAACCATCAAACCAAACATCTCAAACACATCTTCAGTGATACCACAGTACAACAAAGAGGTCATTAATGAGTTACAACACTCCATAGTTCTCTTACAAGCACTCTCATATACAGACCGAGAGTTTTCAAGGTCACCACATTTTCCATACATATCAATTAAAGCTGACTGAATATGAACACTTACTGAATCGAAACCTATTTTCATAACAAAACAGTGAATTTGCCTCCCAAATAGAATATCCCCTCTTCTACTAGATAAATTCAAGAACGCCAAAAAAGAACGAATGGAAGGGTTTTTCCCCCAGAAATGCATCCTACTAAATAATTCAACAGCATCACACAACAAATTATTCTCTGCATATACAGAAATGACTGAATTCCATGATATCACATCTTCAACTGGAATTAACGTAAATGCTTTCCTAGCATTAATGAAATTTCCACAAGCAGAATAAAAGTCTACCAAAGCATTGGCAACAAAAACATTGCATTCCACCCATCCAGCCTTGATCACATGGCAATGCAACTGCTTTCCTTCATTAACAAACCTCCCATTACAACAAGCACGAATCAAATAACAAAAACTAAGTCCATTGGGCTTGATTCCCTCCCATTCCATTTGGTCGTGCAACCCAAATAATTCCTCTATTTTACCAAGCTCCAAAAACCCATTTAACATCAAGTTCCATACAGCTAAATTCCGCTCAGACAATTGATCAAACAACTTCAAAGCCACCTCATCAAGTCCCATATGCAGATAAAAATTCACAAGTGAGCTTCCAACAAACAAATTCAATCCAAACCCAAGTGAAATCACCCTGCAATGAACTTGAATTCCTTCTCTATAAAATCTTCCACTCCCACAAACTGTAATCACAGAAGAAAATGTAGGACCAGTTTCTTTGATTCCTTGTGAAACCATTTCCCTATAAAGATACAGAGCTTGCTTTGGATTCCCATATCGACCGTGCCCAGAAATTAGCAAGTTATATGTGATGCTATCTCTCGTAGAAATTTGGTTGAAAAGGTTTTGCGCATCGTTTAAACGCCCGGATTTGATTAATTCATTAACTGTTTCGTTTTTGTAGTAAATACGCAGATGAGGGTTTCTATCAGAGTACGGTGTAAAGGCCTTGTAATTTGGTGGTACTGACATTGTCGATGTACGGATAAAGGACAAAAATCTAGTTTCCCGCCATTGGTGCTGCAGCATTTTGATCAAGTTGCCATCCGACAGAGAAAATCTATAATAGGACTGAGGTCCTTACTTTAGGACAAAACTTAGTTGAGGATAAAACTTACATTTATTTAAGGAAAATTTCTGAAAATTTTTTTAAAAATAATTTAACAAAAATTTTAATAAATAATTCAAATAAATAATTGACAGAGTTTAGAAATAATAGTATGTAAAAAATTATTTAAAATATTATTTATAATTCAAGTTTGATGATACTTATTCAATAATAAAAATTCTATCATTATTTTTATTAAAAATATTTATTTAAAAATATATATCAAAATTTATTAAAATTTTTTTAAAATTTACACATTTAATCTATTTAACAAAATATTTCAATTTATCGATTTTTATTTTTTATTTTAATTTTTATTTAATCATTTTTTTGTAAAAAACTTGACAAATTTTACTTAAGGAACTTCATCCAAGTCTTTCTCCTTACTTTAAGCTAGGTTTGGTATAATGGAAATAAGTCACCTTCTATCTAATTTAATTGGGTACAATTGTAAGTTTAAACCTAGCAATCGTGCGACTTTAGACAGAGATTACCATTCAATATACCTAAATCAACCTTTTCCAGTTGTGCTTAGCATTTATGTTGGAACTCAACTAGCCTTCTATTAGTTTTAGGAGAAAGCTAAAAAGGAAAGAGTAGAAAAGAGAGAGTTAAGACAAGACCACTTTATTTACTTGATGACCATGTATAATTGCTCTTTTAACACAATGTCCTTATGTGTTTTCTATAATGGCTCTCAATGCCTAAGTCTCTAATGTTTCCTTTATACCAAATGAAGGGGAGTTCCTCCATTTATTATTGAGCCCCTTGACATATATGGCTAATAAGAGTCCATGTGTATGGCCATTACAGGCCTTATAAACAATTTCAGGCTTCGTAAACTCAAGTTTGTTTGGCTAAGCACTTTTTAGAATCCTGATACATATAGGCTCCGTACTAAGTCTCAAGTTTGGAAAGGTCCAGGCACCCTAGCTGAGTGCACGCGCCTAGCGGCTTCCAAATCCTTCTTTGCTTGCAGTTGGGGTCTTTACTTGCATACCCACCTCATCCCTTTCTCCAGAAGCTATTTGCATTTACTCATAGACCTCCATACCACTAAAGTGGCAGAGTTCTTAGGGTTTCTTTTAAATAGGAATTTGCTGGTGAGCACCCTTACCCAAAGGTCACTTTGGTGATGGATCATTCTTAAACACAATTTGGCAAGGAGAGCTTGATTTTGGGGTTGGTTAGGAGAAGGGTGGTCTGGGGTTTATTGTATTTTATCTTGGATATGATGATTTTATGCTTTGGTTTTATAGTGTTGATTTTAAGATTAGGTTTAGAGGTGTTGATTTTAAGATTGGGAGTGTCGGTTGTGAAAAGAATATATATGTTACCATCCTTATTTCGACTAACCTTATCCTTAAAATGTAGAAAAATCATGAAATCATGCATGATTTTCTCAAATTGTGTATGAAAAATCCCTAATATATCTGTTATCATTCTTGTTTCAACCAGTCTTATCCTTAAAAATGCACATAAATCATGAAATTGTGTATGATTTTCTCAAATCATGTATGAAATCCCTAATATGTCTGATATCATTCCCATTTCAACCAACCATTAATTTTTGCAAACTTTAAAATTATTAGTACAATAACTAATATTGTAACTAACTAAAAACTAGTAATAAAAATTTAAATAAAGAAAAAAAAACTGGGTGTTATTACAAGGAAAACTTTGGATCATCATATAATAATTGCAACCTTAAGTTATGACAAACTGATGTAACTATTAACAATAACTTAAAACACAAAAATACGTGCAGTAACCAACTATGTGGAATTTCAAATACTCAAATTTGAAAACCTCCCTACTTTCTGGAAATGCCATGTTAATATTTAAACAAAGTAAAATAAAAAAAAGGCTTAATTTAGAACGCCTTTAAATGATAAAAGAAAAAGGAAAACAAACATTTTGGAATACAAATGACTAGTTAGGCATATTTGAAACAAGTTATAAGAACATATATCAATTCTCATTTTAAAGTTCTTATTATTGCTTTTATTAGATATAGCAAAGACATATTTAATGTATGTTGGATATAGATCAAGCATCTAAAACACTTAGCCAGAAACTCAAAGATAAATTCATGGTTTTAGAGAAGCTATCTATGAATCATTTATTGGTAAAACCCCGGTTGAACAAGCATTTATGCAATTTTGGAGAATGAATGATTATCATAGTGAAGAAATACCAACTGTTGAAGATGTTAGCCACTTAGAAAGGTAGTTAATTGATCAAAGTTGAGATATTATTCGGCATTGATATCTCACTTTTTTTTTTTACTTAATAAGTGCATTTTGTTTTGGTATTATTTTGACCATAATTTGTTTAGGTTGCGAAAAATAGTTTAGTTATCGTAGAAACTTATGTATGTTGTTATTTGATGAGGTTGGAACCTTTGTTATTTTAGGAAGTTATGTATGTTGTTATGGAAAATAGTTTATTATATGATATCCAAACTCTTTATTGTTGTGTTACATGTCACTTTTACATAACAAAATTAACTAGTCTTTTTATTTTATTAGTTTAACCAAATGGAAAGATATGTTCGAAAACCAATTGTTAATGATGTGATTAGTTTTCTATACGTTGTTATATTAATTATATTTTCTTCTATAGTATATTTATTTAACATCTAGACGGAGGTGAATACATTTCAAAGAGTAGAAAGGGAGCAAAAGATCCACTCATCATGAACCCCTAATGAAGATGCTATTTTAATTAACTGCTTACATGGAACTCGTCAACCAAGGAGGTTGAAGTAAAGACAATGGCACCTTCAAGGCAGGTTATTTGCAGTAGCTAGAAAAATGGATGGCTGAACGGATCTCAGGTTGCCAAGGGCATTCCACATATCAACTCTAAAATGAGGTTATTGAAGTCCCAATACCGAGAAATGGCTGAGATGTTAAGTCATGCAATCTCTAGTTTTGGGTGGGATGACATCAACAAATGTGTGACATGTGACACTGATGTTTGGAGTGGATGGGTTAAGGTAATCCTAGTTATTATTGAAATTAATTCATGTAATTATTAATTGATGTTTAAAGGAATGTCTTTTATGTTTTTATGTTATATATGCATTTCAAATGCAAACTAATCAAAGCTACTGCAAGACTTAGAAACAAGCCATTCTTTCATATTGAAAAATTAGCCATTATCTTTGTGAAGGATAGGGCTACTGGAAAAGGAGCAAGATCACCTTCTGATGCTGTCGAGAATATAAAAATAGAGGATTCGATAATTACAATAGCAAAAGCTGTTGAAACTGCATTCAATGCTCTCAACTTTGATAATGATGAACTTAATATGGACAACATCCAAGAGTCCATGTTCTGCACTCAAACAACTAATACTGAATCATTCACTGAAACTAGAAGGCATGCAATGCCAAGTTAGTTTGATGTAGCCCCAAAAAGATCCAAGACCAAGAAATGTAAGGGATTAGTCGCTGACAATGCTCATGATGCATTTTTACCAACATGGAGAAGCTTGGTGAGATTTGTGAAAGTTCTAAGGAAGAGATTGGTAAATTGGCCAGCTGTTTTCAATCCATGGCTAATGATGCTACTAGGAAAATGAAAGTGTATGATGTAATATTGGATTGGGAATTGAAGATTTGACTGATGAAGACCTTGTTAGAGTTGGCTTCATTATCTCTAGTGATAATGGAAAAAGTAATTAACTCTTTTTAATTCCCAATTATATGAAGAAGATTTATGTTAAGGCTTTATTTTGCGGCTCTATTTAAAGCAAATAATTTGCTGAAATTAGGATTTTATCATCGAAAACTTAGGATTTTATCCTACTTGATTTATTGAATTTAGAACTATTATTATTATTATTATTATTATTATTATTATTATTATTATCTGGACAACTTTGGATTTTATCATGCCATTATGGATTGTAAGACATATTATGATTGATTATAATGTGTATTCGGTATCAAAACAATTGTCCTGATGGTATTTTGAATCATCTATTTGGTATTGCTGCTAGGAGTATTAGGTTTGAAAAATATTGTTGTTGCTGCATCTTGATAGAACACTTGCTGTTGTTGCTTTGTTTGGTATCTTGATAGAACACATTGTGTTCAAAAAAAGGCTATTGCGTTGCTTGGCATTGGTTTGAAAAGATTGTGTTATTACTATTATTGTAGGATGTTAAAAGCGTGTTAATTCTGATTGATAGAACCATCCATTTGTAGAAAAAATTATAAGAAAATGGCTGATAATGTTTAATATTTTGGTTATCTCATACATGTGGCTAGATTTGGAATGAGGACAGGGCCGACAAGGTATTTATAGATATTCTCCTACAGGTTTGAGTGTAACGCTAGTATAGAGTAATTGTGAGATATGAGCTCTTAAATCATTTTTTTAACAAGATCTTAATTAAATTTTTTTTTCATATGAAGGAATTAAGCAAACTAATCGTGGTTTAAGTTGGAGAGCTGATTATTAATTTCCTTCAGATTTTTTGCAAGTTGAACCTGCAGAAACAAGGTCACATGATAAAGGTAATGAACTTTTCCAAATTTCTCATTTATCTGGTCATTGGTAATTGATCTCTTATCAGAGTTGGTTTGAAAAGATTGTGTTGTTGCCGTTGTTGCATAATGTTTAAGGTGTATTAGCTTTTATTGATGGAATCATCCATTTGTAGGAAAAATTATAAGGAAATGGATGGTAATGTTTAATATTTCAGTAAAAGGACAGGATATTATATTCAAAATTATTATTATTGAATTATCATTTTAATATAAATATTATAATATGAATACTATTGTTTTGGATAAATAATTTGATTTGATGCATAAGGACAATTTGGAAAATTTACATTACAGTTCTAATAATGTGCTAATTTACCAAACACTGTAATGTTATATTTCCTACATTTTAATCAGCACTTTATCATATATACCAGATGTTATAATATTATTTTTCAGTATTTAATTTTTTATTATTCATTTTTTTTTGCAGTTCACATTTCCCAATTAATTTAATGATTGATAAAGTGTCAAACAACTAACAAATTACATTGTAACTGCTTTTTTGCATTTTAGTTTGTTGATTTTTTTTAAAGAACAAAAATATATAATCTGTTTCATTTCTCCCGCCAAAATCCTTGCATTCAAGATTTGATAACATATAAAAAATCACATGATTATATAATCCGACATCAAGGAAAAAGTTCAGGGTAGATTCACGATGTTTCTAATCTAGGATCACTTAGTATTATCATCAAAGTGATCGATCTTATCCATTGAACCAACAGTCTCCGATGTCAATGTCCTTCCAGCTATTTTATTTAGGTACACGACAGTTTGGTTTGTGGGTTTTGAATTGAAGGATGAAAAGAAAAATTTATATGCCAAGAATTTTTATCCAATTTGATTTGATAGGGTAATTTTATTTAAATAAAATTAAAATTAAAGGTAGATCAAATATTTATACAAAAAAAAAAAAAGGATTGGATGACAATGAATTTTAAACAATTTTGGTTCTATCCATTTTTGATATATATATTATTTATTTAATTTTTATAATAAAATTATTAATAATAATTTTTAATAAAATATTAAATTGATTTTAAATACGATAGGAATGAATGCAAATTATATTTATATAGTATTAAATTATATACCAAATAATAATAATTATATATCACATCCCAATCAAAATCAAATATTAATTTTTTTAAAAATTAAGTGAAGTCGGGGGAAATTCGCCTGATCGGCCCGTTGCCATGGTAATGGGAAATGCAATAGGAGATAATTTGTCCCCATTTCACTTTGAATATAATATAGTCGGAATAGATTGCAACTTTACCTTGTAAGAATTCAGACCAGGCCGATAGATAATCTTGAGGGTCTTGTTCTTTGCTTGGAGTAAACTTCTAAAAAATCGCTACATCAAACGACCGACCCAATAACAAGCGTCAAGAAGAAACGTCAACTTGCCGATTATTCATGGGAAAAGATTTTTTTCATTATTTAAAAATCAGTGAAACTTTTAGCTATTTAGTCTAAAAAATGAATAATTCACCTTTTAGTAAATTTATGATTAAAATTTAATAATTTTAAACAAAATATAAAAATAAATAAATAAGTAATACAATTCATGAAACCCACTTTTTAAAATTATCATTACGTAAAGACATAAATTGTCAGTATTTTTGTATTAGGAATACATGAATTAATAAATTTAATTACTTAAAACCCTCTTAAGAAATATAATTCATGAAACAAATACAAAGGTGAAAAAATGGCGAAGGAGAAAGGCTGGTGGGGAGTAAAAGGAAATTTAAAGTCTCATCCGTTGTGTCACTAAAGGTAGGATAAAAGAGAATAGTTTACAAAAATATAGCACAATCGTTTCCCTCACAGAAAGCAAGCATTGTTCGGGTTGTAAATTGAGGCATGCACACACCAGCAGACAGAAATAATAATGTGAATAAACGATACAAATCACTTAATGTTAGCAGGCTGAAACAAAGGCCTCCATAAGGGAAGCTAAAAATTGCATCTGTGTCTCTTCATTAATTCTCGAGAAGAGGGGAACATGAACAAATAGAGATTTGAGACCCTTCTGTTCTGCAAACCTCAGAGAGTGATAATAGACATAATTGCATACGAAACGGCCTGCATCATTGGATATTGTCACATCATAGCCCTTGTTCTTTAAAAACTTGAGGATCGCTTCAATGGAACAAGTTGTCTTCAAGAACCAAAAGATTTACTATGTTAAACACGGTTCTCTTTTATCAGATGAAAGGGGAAATGGGGAAGAGGCAGCTCTCTTGCCGGTCACAGTAGCCATGAGATAGGTTTCTTTGATATAGTGGTGTATAAAACATAACAAAAGTAAATAACATATAGAGAAAGATCACAAAGTACCTCTCTTTTACGGGAAGTTTCTCCATCCTCTGCGACAATTGGGAGTTGCTGGAGACATCAAAGGGAAATTTAAATACAACAGACTTCATGACAAAAAAAAGAAGGGAAAATAAAAAGACTCGCTGTGTAAAAGTTAAAGGATAGAACAAGAGAGAACATTTGTGAAGATTAAAAGAAGAAGTGCATCCACCTGAGGTTGCCACCCTAGCTCATCCGGACAACAGAAAGTGGCTTCATTTACAGCCTGCTGTTCAAGGGCAAATTCCTCTGCTCCACTGTTAACCCCCAAGTGAAGCTAAAGAAACAATAAAATTGAGGTCTATTAGATCAACAAACGTCATTCCTGAAAACACTTGACACTATCAATAGCATCATGTACTTGTGCATATATTCTCTATAAATATCTTTCCCCAGCTAGAGTTCACTGGATGGTCAATATGGATGATCTAAACCATTAATTAACTGCAACAGGGCACTCAAAGCAAAACAAAATGGAAAATGAGGAAACAATAGATGAAAATGGATGATTCAAATATCAATGAGAGATTAAAATATTTCCTTTACACACTAGGAAACAAGTTATGCATTTTTAAAAAAAATTCATAGGCTGCCGTGTAAACTTTCTATTTGAAATGTTCAGGTCATCTTACAATTATTTTAAAGAAGGCATATGATTTAAGACCCCTTTGGTTACCATATTAAACTGACAACCGACAAGTTTGCCAAACAACTATACACCATTGGAAATTGGCAACGACAGGAGGTTAGGAATTAGTTTCACATTTTAAATGTGAATTTTCTGAAAAGTTTCAATTTCTAAACAGGAAATCAGTAAGACTTGAATGACTTTAAAGTTGTACCGTAAAAGCTGCCATAACAGGAGACATATAAAGGGGCATAATAGAAACTGACCCATATAACTTGTTCATTCTTCGGTGTCAATTCCTGAGATGCCTGATTCCAAGACCTTGTAAAGCACGGAAAGAGCACCATTGCCTGCAGACTCAAGAACAGTGCAACTCCCAAGAGTAACACCAGCAGGCAACAACCCCTTCCTTTGAACAAAACTCATCAGGTTATTAACTATAGTTTCTGTTGGATTTTCAGAAACCCCTTGAAACTTCTTAAATCCAGTTACGTGAATAGTTACAGCCTTTGGTCCTTCCGAACCCATCTCCTTGTCTTGGATACGGACGCAATTCCCAAATTTCATTGAACGCTACTACTAATGCCTGTCTATTCACCACGCCCCTACAAGAAAAACAAAAGAAAAGCACAATCAGAAACTCATCCTGAAACAACAGCAAAATCTTCCATCAAGAGTAACACTTTTAGGAGGGAAGGTAACATTTTTAGGAGGGAAGTGGAAAAAGCCAACAACGAATAACAGGAAAATGTTCACGCACATTTCCAGCATTGGCCCCATTATAGAAAGTCTTGAAAGAAATTATAAGAATATGGTCCTAAAGTATACAACTCGAACGGCTAAACAAGAAAACCAAACCCCATGTTGTCAAATGCTATAAGAAGAGAATCCAAGACCTTTTGGTCAAATAGAACGACAGAATAATCGATTCCGATTTCATTTAAGGGAAAGCAGTCTGATGCTTGCTGTGTAGTTCACTTGAAGAATGTTCAATTCAAACCAGGACTTGAAAGGAGCAATAACATTCTTGCTCTTCATCACAATATGTCTCCAAAAGTTATGTGAAAAGAAAAAAAAGAAAAGCACCAGTGCAAAAATGAAGCTAAATAACAAAAACAAAACGAAACTTCATTAGTTTAATCAGATAAAGTTGACCGGAACAAGAAACGTGCACATAGCCAAAACAAACATAAAAGAATTGACAAGTCACAGACTGAAAGAAAGAAAAAAGAACAAAATCTTTCCTTCCAAAACAAAACCAGAACCAGATTGAATCAACAAAAGCATGTCGTTGGAAAGCAACATAACTGAAACAATCAAACAACAGTACAACACAAAAATCCCAGAATAGATTATAAAGAGTTGGGTTTTATATTACTATCAGAAGACCAAAAACTGTAGAAGTTGAAAGCAGTCTAACATACAAAAACCTGAGACAGGGAAGGTTCGAAAATTACCTGGTAATAAAAAAGATTTTTGCCACAGCGACAATTATTCACTTGAATGAAACTGTCTCGGCTGTTCGATTAATCCGCAGCTGCAAAAAACAAATGATCGTATTTGATTAACTTCTTACGTAAGTGCCACGGTTTCCTAAGATTTGAAGTTAGAACAAACCTGGAAACGTACGCAACTCAGAGAAGTGTTCTTCGATGAGAAAACATCATCGGTCAACTCTTTATGCTTTTTTGTGTTTTTTTCAAGTGACCGGCGTGCTATGTTATTGAGCACGTGGCAGTCAATTATTGATTTAATTATGGCGTAAGATTTGGCCGCCTTACGGATGAACCCATCTAATGGCCGCCGGATTACGCCATCAGATTTGTAAGATAACGGTGTTAATATTGTATCGAATAATATTTTAATTAAAAAAATATAATATGTATATTAATATTTGTTATTTTGATATATTATTTCAAAATTTTAATTTAATATAAATATATTTATAAATATATATTTATATATTATAATATTATTAATAATTTATAAAATAAATATATAATATTTTCAAAAAATTAAATAAATAAGTTTAAAAGTATAAAAATAATATTATAAATTTTTTATGATATTTTTAAATACTTAATCTAATAATAATAATATTTAAAATAAATATTTTTATGTAATATTAAGATAAAATAAAGAAATAATAAAATTAACTTTAATTTCATGATTGATAAACTTTAAAAAAGAAATACAATTACTTTTTAAAAAATTAAAATACTTATGTACTTTAATTTGAAAAAATAAAGTATAAAAGAAAACAAGTTATAATAGAAAATAGAAAAATTCCATTTTCAAATGTTATTTT